CTTTTCAGTGGAAATGCTTATATTATTCTGTAATCAAGGTCAATCTGCATTTGTTTGCAGTGAAAAAGAAAACACCTACTTCTGTCAATGTTTTTTCTTTGCAGTGCTGTAAATGGCTGCAGAAGAAGAATAACTGAATTGCGTGCAGCTTCATTTGCTGTTCCATGAGCTTGTAACTGCTTATTACTTTCACTGAAACTCATTTTTCCTCAATTTGCACTCTTCATGGGCCATCTTATATATAGGTAGACAGAAAACCACCTTTGCATATGTACATAAGATACATGAAGGTCCGTGTAAGGTATTTATCCACTAGCCAGATAAAATATTATTTCAAGAAAACTAATGAAGCTGCCTTCTCTGTTACATCAATTTTGAATTTTTTAAGTGTACTTAAAAAAGGATCTTTCTTAAATGCTTTGAATTCTTCAAGTGCCAGAGTTCAAATCATACTTTTTTTTTTAAATCTAATTTACCAGTTAAGAAATGCTGCAGCAGTTGGTGTTTGACATCCTTTATGCACATCAGTTACGTTTTCCTGCAGTTGCAGGGTGGATGCTGTGATTCTTAAACACCAGTTGCATGTAATGTGATGTGCAGTTTTCAGTAGGATAAATGATTTCATCTCTGCCCCTGCTCTGAACTCAGCAGAACTGACGTAATGTATATGGAGCCCACACCCTGCTGCCACAGCGCTGATCCAGTTCTGCAGAGAAGCATTACATTTATATGGGTCCCTTGAGCAACAAAGCTGCAGTAAGAGCCAGCAAGTAACTTTTCTAGTACCTGAGAGCTGTGGAGTACAAGATGCTTTTCCTGAGGGCTCCAGCAAAAGATCCCTCGTGCTTGGCTTCTCAGCAGGGTATTTAGCTCTCAGATTTCAATCTGATGTATGATATGCATGAAGGTGCTCCCAGTAGTATCAACACACCATCATCTTATAAACAAACAGCCTGCCAAAGCTGTGCTTGCTCTTACTGGGAGCTGGGACCTTAGCTCTACCAAATCATACACTGCATCAGACCATGACCAAACTGTGAAATTAAGATGGAAAAGAAAAACCTGAGTGAGTTGCAGGACTTATTTTTTTTGTTTGTTTTTAACAAAGAATATTCAGTAAGCGAAGTCTTAAGTATAAGGCTGCCTTAAACTTACCAAATTGAGAAGAATCAAAGTTCTTTTGTCTCCCAGTAATATTTTTTTACTTACAGTCTTTTTTATCTCGTATTTTATTTGGTGATGTACTTGTTCTGCAGCACAATCAGAAGTAATGTATGTAGTGGCATTGTGACAGGGATAATACTAATGGTAAAAGCTGACTTTTTCAGTTTCCTTATTTCTATTTGTAGTCTAAGTCATCGTTGTGGGCTTTTTATATATATAAAAGTAATGATTAGAGATGGCATCAAATCATACACTGAATAACTGTCTAGACATTCCTGATTTCACACACGGTCTTCGATTCTCTGATTTTTGCACATGGTGCCATATCTTTTGCAGTAGCTTAAATTCATTTGATTTATGAAAAAAAAAAATTCTGTTTCAAAGCTGAAGGCATGGTGGTTCTGTTCTGTTTGCTTAGTAGTAGTAGCATCCTACTAGTCTGGATGGTGTTTTTAAGAGTTGGTCTTATCTTCAGCTTTGACTTCAATCTAAACTTCAGCTAAGTGAAAGATTAAATCAGTTTTTCCTTGTTTTCTTTTACTGTAATTACCAACATATTTAAATTGCTTTAACTAAAATCTGCGTGTAGTTTTCCTTATGAACCATATGTGTATGTACATGTATGTATTTATGTTTTACTAGCATACATCTCTCTAAAGGATAGCAATAACAAAAAATGGTAATAGGAACCCACAGTCTATTGTTCTTGTTGAAACGATGTTATAGTAATGTGTAAGTTAAGATAAAGTTCCTTATTAGTCCGTGATTAAAAAATAAATAAATAAAGAGTTTGGTGTTATTCCATTAGAGAAAAGAGAGAAATAAAAACAGCATAGTGGCTAGTGATGACAGTAATTGGGTTTTAAACCTTCTAATTGTTGTAACATGACTTTGAAAATGTTGGTTACAAACTTTTTAATCACTTTAATAATTTGGTTGTTGTCAACTGTGAAAGACCTTTTTTGAAAAGACGTTTTATCTCTAGTGCATTAATAAACATTGCTGAACCTACTCAATGCATGTACTATGATAAGTAATTCCAGAAAATTTAACTTGGTGCAGAAGGGTCACCATAGCAAGCATTCCAGTAGACTCTTTGAAGAGTCCTTCATCTGATGTCTGCAGGATTGGTAATTGGTATTGAGACCCCAAATCCATCTTCTAGCTTGAACCAGCTGAATGCTTTCAGTACAACTTACTCCTTATGTTTAAATTCAAAATGAAACTACATGATACTGTTTCCCTAGTCTTCAATTTGTTTTTCATGAGGGTGAAAGCTTCAAACTGCAGAGAGACATGGTCAGTCTTGTGTGACTGCTTTTTACCTGTAGCATTTGACAAACAGAAGTGTTTTGCAAATAGACAGGGAGACAGAATGCCTTCTTTCAACACATTGCCACGTTAAAGGAAAGGAAAAGAGAAGACATTATGAACATGAATGATTAAGAGATGTTCTGCACTGATCTGGCCAATTCCTTATTTTCCTCTTCCCTCCCAGGAGTCAGCCTACAGATGATAAACTATTGACTTAAATGGCTGAGTTGGATTAACAACTTTCTTCCAATCCATATTCAGCAGGATAGGTCCCATTATTCATGATTAATCATTGATATGCCAAGTCCAGTCTCTTTCCCTTCTAGGAGCAGATGGTGGCACACAAATGATTTACGAGGCAGTTGAGACACCTCGGCTACTATTCCAGACTTGCGTATTGTGCTCTGAAAGCCAATTCATTTGTGGCTTTAAGAGCAAGGTGGCAAATTATTTCCATGACCAACTGCTTAGTGGGAGTTGATCTTAAGAGGAAACATAATGCACTCAGTGTTTAAAATCACGTTCAGACATATGCCACAGGTCGAAAATGGTGGTGTCTTTTTATTTCTTGCTTCTTGAAAAGTCTAGGGAATGGATTATCTTCCTTGATACACATAAATCTAATTCCAGATCCTCCTCAACAAAAGTAATGGGAAATGAAATCCTGGTGTGCTTTCATAACTGTAAATTCTTAATTAAGACAGGGTACAGGCAGACACTTAGAACGCCAACCTCAGCAAGTAGCAGCCTACCGACTGCAAAAATAAAATGTAACTTGTCATAATGAAATTGTTTTATTCATTAATGTAGTTGGTAGTATTCAGAGACTTAAAATTAGATGAAAGGCATTGGTATAGGGTGGGAGATTAACTTACTGCTTAAAACTGTGTGAGGTGCAGGAACTTAAAGGCAATGTCAGGCTTAGTGGGCAGTGCCGTTTTATTGAACTCTACCGTGACTCATAGTCATTGCAGAAGAGCACAGAACAGCTGAATCTAGTCTGGTGAGCCCTTCGTTATGATCCTGTGAAAGTTTTATTTCTGGCTAGAGAAACTGGACCTTACTTCCTGGCTCTTGGCTGAGTGAGTAGGGTTTTATTTTGAGCTGGCCAGTTCCTGTGGCACTTATTGAGCAAAAGCTCTTGTGTGCAATGTCGAATTTTAAAAAGAGCTTAAAGATTATGTTTATTTAAGTTTCCTTCCTTTAAGTAGGAACTTACCAAATAACAAATATTACATATATACTTAATAATACATTTTTAATAATTTTGCTGTCAAGGTCTTGTTTGCTGCTTCTGGGGTTTTTTCTTTTTTTCCTTTTTTTTTTTTAATGGCTTATGACTAGTACCTGAAGCCCGAACAACTGTTCTGTTACCATCAAACAACTCTATCCTACTTCAGTTCCAAAAGAGAACTTCTTCACAACGAAGCAATACATTGTCTTGTTGAAATATTAAATCAGACCTTGAAGAAGGAAAGCTTTGGATCCTACTTCTCTACCATGTGTACGAATGGTTCACAGAAAAGTGAATATAAGTATAATAATGAATGCTTTCATTCTTTTACATAAGGTATTACTTTTCACAAAGGTGTTCATAATAAAAATCAAAGACTCTTTTCCTTGTTACTTTAAGGAACAAGTGCAAAAATAAGTATTTTTATTTCTGGTGTGTTTTGGTTTTTTTGTGTGTCCAGCTAAAGTTTGTTAGTTTCTGTTTGTTTTACAGCATACAGAGAATGCTGTACAGAGAATTTCAAGTTTTGTTTTTTTTTTTTTAATCTGTGTAATTGCATTTGTATGCAGATCTGTAAAAAGTGATTAAAACATGAAGTTGTATAACTGAGACAGTCTAACCACAAACCTAATTAAATTTAAAGGGAAAGCAAAAAAATGTAGGTTAAATTTAAAGGGAAAGCAAAAACTGTAGGTTGATTCCCTTTAATTATAACTCCCCTTCAAAACACAGAATGCTAAAGAAAGCCCGGAGCAAGCAGAGTGCTTCCTGTTTGTGTTTATAAGTGCTGGAGCCCACGTTCGTACGATCTTCAGCAGTTTCCACCCACTGTCACTTTTTTTTTTAATTTTGCAACATAACATTCATCGTTGCAGCTTCTGCTATATGTTGATGATAATATTTCTAGTTGGTTAGTGGTTCAAAACTTGAACACAATAATGACAAAACTGAATTTTTCCCATTAAGGCTAGGTGTGGAGCCAGACTATTGTTACCACAAGTAACAATAAAGAAATGTAGGAATGATCTGAGGCTTAGCTTTAATAAATTTCCAGAGATGCTGTGACCATTTATGTATTCAAAGCTTTATTCCCATTCGGGAGGCATTCAGGTATCATCGAGCTCCATTTACAAGTTGTGTTTGTTTGTTTGTTTGTTTGTTTTCTGATGCCAAGGACAGCTTCCTTAGAAGCAATAATCATGTGATTTAGTTTTGTGCGTTTTTTTTAAATAAAACTATTCAGTGACTTTTTCCAAATTGTTAATCATGAGTCATTTTCTTTTTGTAGGAGTTCTCTGGAATCTTTCTTCCTGTGATGCACTGAAAATGCCAATCATCCAGGATGCCCTTGCAGTGTTGACCAATGCAGTGATTATTCCTCACTCTGGATGGGAAAACTCTCCGCTCCAGGATGATCATAAAATACAACTTCATTCATCACAGGTGCTGCGCAATGCCACTGGGTGCCTAAGGTAAGTACAGCCAAAATTTGCTTTGCCTGAGTCATCTTGCTTTGGCTTGAACTGCTATTTCTCATTCTTAGATGTCTGTAAAATAAATAATTTGTGTGTCAGCAAGGAAGATGACTTTCAGTGCTATGAACTGTCAAGTTAGAAATTAATTAGAAAACAAGCTTCATGCCATTCAAAAGCAATCCCTAGAAGTTTGCCACTTTCCTTTTCTTAATAGCCTTGACCAGTCTTCTCACCGAAGCTTGTATATTGCAGATGTTTTTTTCCTTCTAGATTTTTCCCATTCTCTCAGTTCCCTAAGTGAAGTCAGCATGTTCTCACTGTTACATCCAGTGTACTTAATGTAAAAAGCAGTGAAGATGTTTAAAAAAAGTAACATGCCTTGAGGGTTCCCGGTGCCATTGGTGAAGTTATAATTAATATATCGGATAGATTTTTTCTGCTCTGTGAAGATGAAAACCATGGTGGAATTAGAAACCAATCAGATAAAAATTATGCAACTCGCATACCTAAATGGATCATTAAGTATATGTTATGTGTACCAAATATATATATGCAGTACCAAGTTGCACTCGTATAAATAAGTGCAGCATGATAAATCTGTTCTTAAACACCACCATAGGTGTGAGAATGAAAATAGGATGAGTAAGAAGAGTTTCATTTCTGACAAACCCTTACAAAAGGACTAAATCTGCAGTCTCTGAATTCCAATCCATATCAGTGTGTTGATGTATTTTAACTTATTAGGCAAGTTCTTCAAGTGATGATTTTGTTTTTCTGTTTTTATACTGGAATTTCTGTAATCTGTCTCAGACACTTGTTATGAAGATGAATTAAGTAGTAGCTTTAGGTACTTCACAGGAAAATTTTTAGGTGAATAGTATTTGTGATGATACAGCACATGTTCTTTGTTTCATCCAAAACAAAAATCCATTGGATAGAGATAAATCGAAAAACATTATTTGATTATTTTCTTAGGAGGCAAATAAAATTGCAGTGTTTTCTTATGTGTAGCAAGCACCTTTTTCACCTTGTGTTTTTTCAGCAAATGTCTTCCTTTTAGAATGAAAAATGGAAAGTTTAAGGGAAAAATGATAATTATTATTGATTTTTATATGTAATCGGTAGACGCTTTAATATAGAAGGTAATAATTTATTGTAAATATACTTGTATTGGACTTAAATATAGGTATGTATATGTGTATATCAGCTGCACAGGTTATGTGGTTGGAGCTAGGTAATTACATCTGAGTTTCATTGATTTGGAAATATTATGAAAAGAGTTTCATGGTATATTTCTGTTGCATTACATTCAAATCCCTAAAAAAATACTGGTAGAATTACATTGGTTATTCCATAAGGACTTATACCATTTAGTACTTTTCATGCTTCCGATGCTTAGCCTCAGTTAAATAGCAGCCTCTGAAAAAATGTCTATTATAAATTTGGGCCTTTGCAGGTTCCGTTTTCTGAACATGCATATTCAGTGTTGGTTTCCCTACACCACAGATACCTTCCTGTTAACTTACTCCAGCTTCTTTTCCCATCCCTGACCTTGCAGACCTCAGTTGTTCCCGGCTTTTAGTTGATGATTCATGTCACATTGGTCTTGAAATCTTTCTTTCTTTCTTTCTTTTTGTGAGTATGTGCACGCCCATTTGCAAACTGATGTGAGCTTACTGTAGCCTGCACTCTGGGTCAGCCTGAGGACTTGTGGCCACATGAGAATGGTACGTTGTCTGATACAATACACACTGCTTTGCAGCAAGGCTTACTGCCAAGTGCTTGATAGTACTCTGTCATAGCAGAATGGCTTCTGATCGGCTCTTGCAAAATAAGCTCATATCTGCCTGCAAAAGATTGTGCATATTATACCTCTTGAATCCTTTCCAGATAGCTGCAATAATTCAACTGCTTGTCCTAAGCTGGTTTGTCTTCTTTCCTTGTAACCCTAGGCCCTTGAACCATGTGAAGGCTTTTTAGTGACTTTCTGATCTCAAGCCCTTATTTCCCAGGTGCATCTTTCCTCTGTATCTGATTGAGGTATTTATTTGGCCTTTGTCCATCTTTAGATGACTTCATCCCACTTAGTCCATGTGGATGCTCTTTAGCAAAGCCAGAACATTTGGAAAGGGCTGAATTTCCTTTTGCTTTATTAGCAGAAATTTTCTTGTTTATCTCCTCAGTCTTTATGGGAAACCTCTCCCTCTGAAGAAAATGTAAAATTTGAGACTGTACAAGGAACAAAAGTATTAGCTGATGTTTAAGGAGCTGAATGGTTGCTTTTGTGTGGGCTTTTTTGTTGTTGTTGTTGTTTGGTTTTTGTATTCATATAAAATAGTGGGGTTGAAGAAAACAGTGAATGACAGAAAGATTAGAAAGCTGAGTTTTACTGCTGCTGATGAGAGCAGTGCACCTCTGTGCTGCTAGTATGCTAACTAACATTCCTTAAATACCTGCCACCCCCAATAAGCTTGAAACAGTTTTCACTCCATCCCCTTATGACTAGGTACAAGCTTCAGATTTCCATTTCAAAATCTCACAGTTTCGGGAGATATTATAAAGCAAGAAGATAAAATGTACTGGCAAAGACACTGCAGTGCTTAGCTCATAAACTCCATTGCTATCTTCCATGGGATAACTAGCTCTCAGACTCCTGTTTGGTTGTCCTCTACTGCTTTCTTTTTCCCTTTGTTTTTGAGCTGGTTTGCAAGGGGACATTGATTCATAGCAGTTGCACCCAGATTTTCAGTGGTAGTGCTCAGTAGCATAGGAAAGCTATTTGACAAATGTTTCTAAATCAGTAATGTTGACAGATTTTAGAGACATCAGGCAGCATTACATAAGGTTTAATGCCACCAGATATGCTAGGAGGCTTTTTTTTTTTTTTTTTTTTTTTTTTTTTTTTTAAATCTTCTCTGCTTTTGTTTTTCTGATGCATCCACTGTTAAAGCTTTAAGGAATATCTAAGAGGTGCTATAATATAATCCTTCCTATGTGGAGTGCCCATAAATAGTTTGCATTGGCTATTATGTAGGAATAGTAAGATCTTTTATATATGCATTGTATGATTATTTTTCTTTCTGCTATTTTTCTGTTTCTCAATTTCTATATGAGATTTTTTTTATCTTTTTCAATTACATAGTTGCTTATTAACTATGATTTTAGTACTCTTACCTTAACTCTTTACAATTCTTAAGGAAGTTCTTAATACATTTTTTAAAATGCTGAGTGGGACAACTACTGCAACTTCAATCAAACTGTAACCCAGCTGAAATCTGTATGAAATCACATGAAAGACAGCAGCAAAATCAGATATTCTATTCCTGTTATAATCTTCTTTCTTGAAAGAGGTTATTTACAAACTGCACGGTTGTGCACTTTCATGCTTTAAAAAGAAAGTAATACGCTATTGTGCTAGTTCATTTCATATAAATTAAATATTTGAAATTGTTTGGATAATTCAGATAAATACTTTTTATTTCTGTCAATTATAAATTGGTTCTTAGTATTCATAATTCAGAAACTGCCAGGCCTCAAAGTGACATATTGGAGTAATCATCCAATTTACTTGCCGCTCCACTGAGGTATCAGGACGTTACTTCAGTAAGCTCTGTGAATGTTTGGCTTCTTTTTTCCTTTCAGGTTCAGCTGTGACTGATTTATTTGCACTTGTGAAATACTGTCTGTTTGTTTTGTACCTTCTAGTTCATGTAGCCTTCCCAGGGAAATTCTAGTGAAAGCTGAATTTTGAGTCCTATTTGTTTATAGTAGGGCTTATAGTGTCCTTACTCTGAAATTTAATAATCAACAGGAGGCATTTTGCACAACATACTTTTGACCTGATCTGTCAAGCTTACATATTACAAAACTGTATCTCTGTGCAAAAACCATCCAAAAAAATCTCTAGCAGTATCTTTTCAAAAGTCTTTTTCCTGATGTACAGTTTGGAATCTGGAGAGGCTGTGGGTTTTTTTCCATGAATTTGACATGAGGTTAAGGTAATAGAATGTCACCTGAGGACTTCAAGGATTTTAAGAAAGTATTGCTTTAATGTTCTAAATCTGTATTTTAAAATTCAAAATCAGAAAATTCTGCCCTTTTCTTTTTTCCATGTTCTATTTAATTTTTCATCGTATGAAAATCAATATATTAAAATATAGATCTCCCTTTACATTATTGGATTTGAAACTGTATAGGAGAGAATAACTCAAGTACTTTTTCTTTGTAGAGTTCCATCCCTTTCACATTTTGCTGTTTCATACTTTCATGCTTGTCAGATCTTTCACAAAATGCCAAGAATTATTTCTTTCAAATGGAAACACACATAGCAAGTGCTCAGAATAGAAAAGCAAAGGGGTATAGTGCTTTTAAAACATGGATTGAATGCAACAGAACCAGTAGTATTTTCTGGATAGATCAACTTTTGGAAAGAACAAATTACCTTTTCACAACAATTTGTTTTAATTGTGAAACCTGAAAGCAAATGTTTTTAACTGCTTTGCAGATGAATGATCTGTTTCACAAACATTTGCAGCTAATGCATTTATCCCTCAGCCTTATTTCTCTTCCAGCTCTCTTCTAAGCATCCTAAGACTGTTAGTTCATATTCTTAGGAACTTCTATAATCTCTTTTGAAAATGACATTCTGCTGCATACTGACAATAGAAAATGTGTGAGCAGCATAAAATAGATAGTATTATTTGCCAAATGTTTAGTTTCTAAGAAAAAGTATATATATGTGTGTGTGCAGAAACTTGCTTTGATGTACATGCGAAACTTCTTAGGATACTAAACGGGTACGTGTGTACATATATGTATGTACATTTGTATAAATATGTAAGAGGACTGATTGATGAAGCTAAAACATGTTTTTGTCTTTCTTGACAATTTCACGTTCTGAGTATCTTCAATTGGGCATAAATGGAATGAACTTACTGTAGTAGGAGCAGGGCCTTTGCAGCTAATTTCTTTTTTTATTCTTCTCCCATGAACAGCAG